TCTACTTCTACCTCCTCTCCAACATCAAAAATGTCTCTAGGCATTGCCAAATGTCCCCTGGGTAGCAAAATTTCTCCCATGACCTTTCACTTAAGAATCATTGGTCTAAAGAAACAAATAAGAACTATGTAGTGTGGGGCCAGCAGGTGGCGTGGTGGTTAAAGGTGCTGGATTCCCTCATGGCTGCTGACCACAGTTCAAGTCCTAGACCTTGCAGCTTGCTTTCTCACTTGCCCTATCTCTCTCTAGTCAAATTGAAATAAATAAATAAATAAATAAAGCTGAATAAAATAATTCTTTAAAAAAAAAAGAAGTATGTAGTGTTTGTCCAGCTCTGCTGATGAGAAAGAAGATACTACATCACGCATATTTGAGAGTGGAGGGTAATCTACAACAGATCAGATAATTGCTCTAGGCAATCTCACAAGGAAATACTCCCATAGAATGTCAATTATTGGGTCATCGGAAACATGTTTTTCTATGCAAAAATGCACCGTGACTTTTTCTTTTCTTTTTTTTGAGAGACTTTTGCTATAGGGTGCGTGTGCTTGCTGGAGAGAGAAAGAGAGACAAGAAGCAAGAAATCACTCCTGGTGGGGAGAGTGTAGCCATGCCTCAATCCCTTCTCTTCCACTCTCCTCTCAGGATCTTAGGCACGCACGCACACATGCCCAGTGTGAGTCTTAAGTCGCCGGGCCTGGGACTTCAACCAAGGTCGACTACCTGGGAGTCCAGTGACATAACCATTATGCCATCTGCTAGTCCCACATCATGACTTTTTCAATGACCCAACAGTACAACCATCATGGAAAACAGTATGGAGGTTCCTCAAAAAACTAAAAATAGAACTGCCATATGATCTAGCAATCCAACTACTAAGTATATATCCAAAGAAAAGGAACTCAGTATGTCACAGAAATAGTTGCACTCCCGTGTTCATTGCAATCCTATTCACAACAGTTAAGATATAGAATTCACCTAAGTGTCCATCAATAAATGAATAGAAAAAGAAAATGTAAAAATACACAATGAAATACTACTTAGCTATTATAATGAATGAAATCCTGTCATCCAGGCAACACAGAAAAGCCTAGAGAACATTATATTAAATGAAATAAGCCAGGTACAGAATGAGAAAAATTGCATGGTCTTACTCACATTTGCAAACTACAGAAGTTAACTTCATAGAAGCAGAGAGCAGAATAGTGGTTACTAGAGATTGGGAAGGGTGAAGTGAGGATAGGGAGATGTTGGTTAACCAATACAAAATTACAGTTAGATAAGAGGATTCAGTTATAGTGTTTTATAGCACAGTAGGATATCTATACTTAACAATACTCATATATTTCAGAAGAGCTGAGAGAGATTTTGAATGTTCCCAACAGAAAGTAATGATAAATGTTTTAAATGACAAAAAAGGCTAATTACTCTGATTTGATCATTATACATCGTGTTCATGTACTAAAAAGTCATAGAATACCCTGTAAATATGCACAATTTTTTAAAAAGAATTATTTATTTAATTTTTATTGATTCACCCATTTATTTAAATTTGACCAGAGAGGGACAGAGAGAGAAAGACAGAGACAGAGAGAAGAAGCGAGAAAGCAAGTCACCAGGTCCGGGACTCAAACTATGGTCAGACATGTGGGAGTGTCCAGTGCCTTAATCATCACGCCACCTGCTGGTCCCAAATATGCACAATTTTTTAAATGTTAAGTTATTTATTTATACCATGGATGAGAGAGATACAGAGAGAGAGCAAGAGAGAGAAACAGCACTTCTAGTAGGTCCCAGAGCTGCAATCTACCCCCAAACACAGCCCTCCCCAGATCGTGAGCAGGTGTATGCCTGGCATACTCAGGGTAGTCTTAGCATGTGAACCTGGAACCCTCCCATGTGGGTCAGTCTCCCAGAGCATAATGGTTTACCAATACACTGTCTGGTTTCAATATCTATACTTATTATGTGTCAATTAAAAATAAAAGACAATGAAAAAAATACCCTGACAGATGTACTTAATTTTCTTTGCTCCAATTCTATTTGCCAAGTAATGTCTCAATAACCAATTCAGTATCTTGGGCTGGGCAGTAATATCGGGAAAGTATTACTAAAGAGTAAATGTGTTATATTTAAAAGACTTTTAAAAAACTCAATGACATATAACAGTCCACAGGCTATTGTCAACATCGACATTGGACCATATAAAAGGAAACAGATGGAAAAACATTTGGAATGATTAGTAATTTAACAATGTGTTAAGATTAAATTTCTAGGAGTACAATAAATAAATAAAAGACTAAACCAAAAATTCTTCCACAATATTTTCCACATTGAAAAGTAGAGATAAAAATATATAGATGCATATGTGCATATAATATGAATGCTTTGGGAAAAGTAATTTTAGAATGTCTTTTCATATAAGAAGGAAATAATAAAAGAAAAGGTAGTTTTACCTATACTGAAATCAAAAGTTTTGTGTTTCAAAAATAAAATATAAACAAAACTAAAAGATAAACAACTAGAGAAAATATTTACAATGTCAATGTCAATAAGGCAAATAACAAAATCAATACCCCAATGCAAAAGTAGAAAAAGAGCAGGAACTGGTAATTCACACATGCACATATACACACATCCACATCTACCCGAAACCCCTGTATGCACACAAAAGCTTAGCTAGTGCATATATGAAAAATATCCTATTCATCAGGTAAATGCAAATAAAAACAAAATAGCATTTCTTTATATATCTGCTTGATAATGATTTATAAAAAGAAAAATAGAGGGCTAACAGGTGGTATAATGGTTAAGGTGCTGGACTCTTTACATGGTCAACCATGGTACAAGTCCTAAACCTGGCAGCTTGATATTCATGCTGGGCTCATGCCCAAAATCTCAAGGGGAGAACAGAGGAGAAGGGATTGTAGCATGACCATCCACGCCCCTGGGGGCGGGGAGGTGACCTCTTGCTTTCTCTCTCTCTGGTGAGTGTATGCACTGTATAGAAAACCCTCTCAAAAAAAAAAAAAAAAAGAAATTAAGAAAAAAAGAAATTAGAATATATAGTATTTATAAAGATTCAGACAAATATATATTCTCAAACACTGATGATATAACTGGCATGAGTTCTCTGGGAAACAAGTTAGCAATAAACATTTGGCCAATAAATATTGTGTAACAAACACTACTCTAAAGTATTACCTTATTTACTCCTTATAATAGCCCTATGAGTAAGTGCTGCCAATGTCCTCACCAAGGCACCAAGAGGTTAAGAAACATTCCCACTGGACCAGCAGGTGACATGGTGGCTAAGGTGCTAGACTCCCACATGGCTCACTACAGTTCAAGTCCCAGAGCTGGCAGCTTAAAACTCATGCCAGGTGTGTGTGTGTGTGTGTGCATGCTCAGAATCCCAAGACATTAATGGAGAAGGGGGAATTATGATGTGGATGCCCTGGGGGGTGATTTCTCACTCTCTGTCTCTGTCTCCAGAGTGCAAGCACTCTATAGTGAAATTCTCTGCCTGCCCACAAAGAAACATTCCCATGGTAACAAAGTCAATAAAGAGCAGCTCAGAATTTGAACCCAGGCAATGTTAAGTTTATAGCCCAAGCTTTTCTTTTTCTTTTTTTTTTTTTAAGAGAGGTTTTTGGGGGGACTTTCCCCTTTTTGCTCTCTGTCTCTCTCTGGTCAAATTAAAATAAATGAATAAATAAATAAGATGAAATAATTAAAAGAGAGAGATTTGTGCCATAGGGCTCATGTACTCATCAGAGACAGAGAGAGAGACAGAAAGCAAGAAATCTCCCTATAGGTGGGATGGTCATGCCACAATCCCTTCTCCATTCTCCTCTCAGGAGTTTGAGCACACACATGTTCCCAGTGTGAGTTACAAGCTGCCAGATCCAGGACTCGAATCACAGTCGGCTGTGTGGGAGTCCAGTGACGAAAACACTATGCCATCTGCTGGTCCCAGCTTTTCTCTTTTTTGAGAGATTTTTGCTATAGGGTACCCACACTCGCCACAGTGACAGCGAGAGATCGAGAGATAAAGAGAGACAGAGAGACAGAAAGTGAGAAATCACCCCCCAGGAGCGATGGCCACACTGCAGTTCCTTCTCTATTCTCCTCTCAGGATTTTGGGCACATGCACATACGTGCCTGGTGTGAGTTTCAAGCTACCAGATCCAGGACTCAAAACGCAGTTGGCTATGTGGGAATCCAGCACCTTAACCACTATGCCACCTGCTGGATCCCCAAGCTCTTTTTTTTTTTTTTAAATTATTTGTTATTATTACTATTATTTTTAAATTTGCTATAGGACACATGCACTCCTCAGAAAGAGAATAAGAAAGGAAGCTACCGTGTCCAGGACTCAAACCATGACATACCCTGTGGGAGTCCACTACCTTAACCACCATACCACCTGCTGGTCCCTAGCCCATGCTCTGAACTATTTACTCTCAGCTTAGATAGCCCAGAGCAACTACCTTCAATGTAGTGGTTCAGTTCTTAGCACTACCATTAACCAGCTAAATGAGTCTTGGATATCTGGCTGAAGGTATCTGAGACATAGTTTCCTTATGTATAAAATGGGTCTAATGAAGGTCTCATTATAGAATTTTATCAGGAAGATCATATGAAATTGTATATGTTGAAAACCTGGCCCACAGTAGACATTCAACAAGTTAGCACTCTTCCCTCCCGGTCTGACATACCTCTACTTTTCACTCTTGATGCTACTCATTCAAGCTCCATTAAAAACCAGGGACTAACACAGCTCCAGAGAAAGAAGACACAGCAGTTGCAGGAAAATGAAGAACACTACTGCTGCCAGTAGTAGTGGGCAACTGAATATGGCTAAATCCCTAAATTCGAACCAGTTTATTTCAGCCACTACACTGCCTTTACCATGCTAGTACAATAAACCAGACTTTACTTTCCAAGCCATACTGTTCCTCTACCCTGTTCCAGATGGATAGAATAAGAAAACTCACCTAATGCCCTGACAATTCGCATCAGGACTTCCCCGACTTTCATTCTGGTCTCTGGCGTGTGCTTGGCTTTGCTGCTGTCATACTGAGCCAACAGGTCAAGCAAGATCTTCTCAGGGTATACATCTGAGAGCAGGGCAACTCCTGGGGTTGAAAGCAAAAAGGAAGGATTCATTACTGTTTTGGATTGAAAGGCAAATAAATCCAGTTATCCTGTGATGGGATGAACTCAGAGGCATTAAACCCACCTCTGTAATCCTACCAACAAGGGCTACCCTGTATTTGGAGAGACAACATCACAAGTGGAAAGAAGATGGGTCTGGAAGCTCAGACTCCTGAATGAATCTAGTTCCAGTGCAATATGATCTCTGAGGTCACTCCCAGCACTGACATCCTGTTGTCTATGAATGGACTTTAGAAGAAGTAAATTGATTACACAACACACGGGTGTTCACTAAGCACTGGGAGAAGACCAGACAGAATGCCCTCAAGGATCTCCCAATTCTGAGACTAGGGTTTGATGACCAGCATTGTCCCTTCTAACACAGCAGCTCCAAGCACAGCAGTGCTTTCTGCTTTTCTGTAGTTCTCCATTCCAGGACATTTTCTCTCTGTCAAACTGTGATGAGAGCAATTCCTACAAAGGGACATTTCAGAGCATTCTGGGAATGATCAGGGTTAGATCTAAGCTTATGGAGGAGTTTCCTAGGACTCACCGATCCCTTCTTACACTCATGCCTCCTAATGTGTAACCCATAACAGTGTTACCATGATCTGAGGGGAGGGAGATAGGATTTAAGTCAGAACCAAAATAAAGTACCATCTCACAACTATATAAAAGTACCACCTCACAACTATATAAATGCAAATTCTTTCACTGGGGGTGGGGGAAGATTACACATTTCTAAGAACAGTGAGGAAAAAGAAACAGTGACAAGATAAAGAAGGAAATAGGGGTTTCAGAATGTATCTATAAGAAAATGGTACTGACTACCTCAATCCCTTGGACTTACTCTTTTTTTATTTTTTAAGAATTATTTATTTTATTTTGTGATTATTATTATTTTAAAAATCTTATCAGAGACAGAAAGAGAAAGGGAAAGTGAGAAAGCAAGCCAGGACTCAAACTGTGGTCAGCCATGTGGGAGTCCAACACCACAACCAGCACACCACCTTGCCAGCCCCTCTGGTCTGCATTCTTTCTTTCTTTATTTATTTAAATGCCAAGGTCTTGCCAGCCTCCCAGCTGGGACTATAAGTTCACACCGCCAAGTATAACTCTTTTTTAAAAGACAGAATCTTGCTGTGTTTCCCATGCTGGTCGTATCGTATGCTCACAATCCTCCCACCTCAGCCTCCCTGAGTCGCTAGGATTATAGGTACAGGTAATTGCTCTTGGCCTTTAGTTTAGACTGAGAATCAGACCTGGGACTCTCATGTAGTGTCAGCCTGTGAAGCAGTTTCTTAGCAGCATGTGCCACTGCAGCTGGGCCTGAACTTTTCCAGTAATCCCCTAACTGGTCTCCCTGTTTGTATCCTTTCCCCTCACTGCTGGAACTGATTGAAAGAGTAATCAGGCCCTTCTTCTGCCCAAGCCCCTCCATGGTTTCCCTTCTCTCCTGAATAAGAGCAGCCGCTAGACGCCTGCCTGCTTTTGGTCTCTCCTTGACCCCACCTTCTACTTACACGCGTGCTCACTCTCCTCTAGCAACGTTGGCCTTCTCACTATTGAGTAGACGCAGCTGCTCCTGGCCAGCATCTTTGCCTCAATCCCCTCTGTCTCAGCTACTGCTCGTCTGGTATCCTCTGCTAATTCCTAAACACACATCATGTCTCTTTTCACGCATCACACTGACCGTATATAAGGGAGCACCCTCCTTCTCCTGCCACACTTTTCCCTCTAACCCAATTTCATTTTTTTTCTCTTACCACTTAATACCACCTGCCATGTTACAGATTTCCTTATTTATTGTCTGTTGTCCTTGGAATGTGAACTCTGTACAAAGTCAAGAGTTTTGTTTTATTCCCTGTTGTTTCCCCAAAATACCGAGAGGAGTGACTGCACATAGCAGGTGCTCAATAACTATTTGCTGAATGAATAAATGAGTAAAAAGAATTCAAAGACAGGGACCAGCAGTTAGCATAATGGCTATGTCGCTGGACTCCCATGTAGTCGACCGCGGTTCGCGTCCCAGACCCGGTGGCTTAAAACTCACGCCGGGCGCATGTGCGTGCGTGCCCAAGATCCCGAGAGGAGAATGGAGGAGAGGGGATTGTGGCATGGCCATTCCCCCTGGGGGGTGATTTCTCGCTTTCTGTCTCTGTCTCTCTCTCTCTGTCTGGCAAGCACACGCGCCCTATAGCGAAAACCTCTCAAAAAAAAAAAAGAATTCAAAGACATAGTCTCTCTCTCTCTCTTAAATTGCCAGTGGGCACATACACTTGCCAGGGAGAGAGAGAGAGAAAGTGAGCACCTCCAACCTCCCACAAGAGCATGGTCACGTTGCAATCCCTTCTTCATTTCTTTACATTGCTTGGCTTTTGGACACACACACACGCACGCGCGCGCACACACACACACACACACACACACACAAGTTCCTGGTATGTTCTGCAAGCCACCAGGGCTAGAGTTCAAACCGTAGTCAGCCATGTGAGATCCAGCTCCCTTAACCACTAGGCTATGAGGCTGGCCCAAAGATACAGCCTTGTTGGGGCCAGCACATGGTGTAGTGGCTGGGGCGCTGGACTCCCACATCAACTGCAGTTTCAGTCCCAGACCTAGCAGCTTGTTTTCTCACTTTCTCCTCTCTCTCTAATCAAATTAAAAAATAATAATAAAAAATAAAATTGAATGAATAATTATTTTTTAAAAGATATAGCCTTGAAATAAATTTCAGGAATTAAGAGAGGATGGGGAGAGAGTAATATAAACACTTGAGAAATCTATAATTATTTTTGGGACCAGCGGTTAGCGTAATGGCTATGTCACTGGACTCCCATGTAGTTAACTGCAGTTTGAGTCCCGGAGCCAGAGGCTTAAACTCACACCGAGTGCATGGGCGTGTGTGCCCAAAATCCCAAGAAGAGAATGGAAGAGAAGGAATTGCGGAGAGGCCATTCCCTCTGGGGGGCGGGGGGGTATGATTTCTCACTTTCTATCTCTCTGTCTCTCTCTGTCTTCCTGGAGAGCACACGTGCCCTGTAGCAAAAAACTTCTCCAAAAAAAGAAAAGAAAAAACAAAGAAATCTATAATTATTTTTATCCCAGTTTATCATTCTCCTGTTAAACTGACAATCTTGTAGGCAAAGCCTACACACTATTTTCTATGCTATAGGTTGTCTTCACTTCGAATCTGCTATACCTGTGAGTTGTGAAGGTGATGCACCTGCTGAGGGCTGCGTCTGTCTGCCTATCCTTTCTGCTCTCTCCACTCCCACCTTTTATTTGCTTCCAAAGAGCCTAAGACCTCTCTGCATGTGGCCCCAAGCCATGCCTCCCTGAAGGTGGGCTCTGATTTTATATAAGCAGAAGCTCTGCTCTTTGGGGATTTAAAGACCAAGGAAGAACCATATTTAAACAGTTACTAGTTAACAAAATATGACATTGTATTCAATAGTTACAGTTGACCGAACCAGCAGTTAGCGTAATGGCTATGTCACTGGACTCCCACGTAGTCGACCACGGTTTGTGTCCCGGACCTGGTGGCTTAAAACTCACGCCGGGTGCGTGTGCGTGCGTGCCCAAGATCCTGAGAGGAGAATGGAGGAGAAGGGATTGAGGTGTGACCATCCCCCCTAGGGGGTGATTTCTCACTTTCTGTCTCTCTGTCTCTCTCTGTCTGTCTGGCCAGTGCACGCGCCCTATAGGGAAAACCTCCCCCCTTCCAAAAAAAAAATAGTTACAGTTGGCTCCATTATATACAATGATGGAGAAGTCCCTTAAGGTCCGAAGTGGAATTAGGAAACACTCTGGCATAGGAAAAACATCTGTGGCTTAGCAAAAATTTACTAAAGGACAGGAAGAAATCCAATTCCAGTTTCTAAAAGAGCCCCAGAAGAAAGATAACTGGTAGGTGGTAACTGCAATTCTGGCACGCATTGTATATTTCTGTATTATGAGGCCTAATACAGTGTATATTATGGAGCTGCAGCTATCAAATCCACTTTTTTTTTTTTTAAAGTTTTTAATATAGGGCATGCATGCTCACTGGAGAGAGAGAGAGAAAGAAAGTGAGAAATCACCCTCCAAGGGGGATGGCCATGTTGCAATCTCTTTTCTTGGGATTCTGGGTATGCATGCACACATGGCCTGTGTGATTTTTCAAGCTGCCAGTTCCTGGACTGGACTGTGCAGTTGGCCATGGGGGACCCAGCACCTTAACCACCATGTCACCTGCTGACCCCATAACTACTTTTTCATTAGAAGTTCTCAATTTGAAAATCCTTGTGAATTTGTTTCCTTATAGGAATATAGTTGTGACTTTACAATGAAAAAATGATCTGTATCTAGCTTTTCAGAAACCCATCTATTACAAAGTCTCGATCAGTGTTGTTTATTCCTATTTTCTCTTGTTAGTCTTTAGCAGAAGACATTTATTTATCTCTACGAACTTATTATCCTGGTCAAATGAGCTCATAAACTCCTCTATGTGGTGGACAGACGTGTGGTTGTGGACAGACGTGTGGTTGCACACAGCATCAATCCTCACTTCTTTTCTTTTCTTTTTTTTGTTTTTAAGAGGTTTTAGCCTTAGGGTATGTGCACTCATAGGAGAGAAAGAGAGACAGAGACAGTAAGAGGGAAAGTAAGAAATCACTCCCCAGGGGAGATGGCCACACTGTGATCCCTTCTCCCTCATTCTCCTCCCAGGATCTTGGGCACACATACACACATACACGGCGTGACTTTTAAGCTGCCAGGTCTAAGACTCAGACCGTGGTCGGCCATGTGGGAGTCCAGGGCCTTTAGCACTATACCACCCGCTGGTCCCCGGTTCACATTACAGTGTCCTTGCATTGCAAGAAACACAGGCTAGTTCTAAATGTCTTGAGACATTTAGGGCTGACTGATTCAATCCCAGGAATCTACTAAGCCATCCCCACTTCAAAACTAATGTACTCATTTCCCCTGGGCAGATAAC